CGGCTTCCTGTGCCCTCTTCCCGGTTTCTCCAGGCGGCCAGGGTCTCCTCCTGTACGCGCCCGCGGCAGCTCCACAGCGGAGGAGGCTGAAGCCAAGGAGGTCACTTGCCTTCCCAGAGTTGTACAGCGGGCTGGACATGGGGCAGGCCCAGCGCAGTGCCCCAGAGGCTGCTGCCGAGGACGCCGGGAGGCAGGGCAGAGGCAGCCGGGCCCACCAGGGGCTGCCTCTGTCACAGACGGGGCACGGCTGCAGGACACGACAGCCTTGCTGAGACCGGCCGGCCAGGGTGGATGCGGCCTGTCCAGCTGGACTGGGCCCAGGCTCCTGGTGGCTCCAGGGTGGCGGGCTGGGCGGGGCCGTGGCGCCGGTGGGTGTGGGTGCCCAGGAGGCGGCACGGGGCAGTGCCCAGCACCGAGGCTCGTCCTGGTTGCCACCCGGGGGCCCTATGGCTGTAGGGGCTGCCGTGGGAGAACAAAGCGTCCTGCAGGAATTCCGGCCTGGCCGGGCCTGCATCGTGGCGCTGGGCACCGTGCCCACTGCCCTCCAGGTCCTGCCCACAGCTCAGGGCTATGACTGGCCGCCGGCCGCTGTGCATTCCACAGCTGCTTCCATGCGCCTGGCCTCTCCCCTTCCTGTCCTGAAAAGGTGCCCGGCCCGGGCAGGAGTGAGGATTTCCTTCCTGCAAGCACGGGCTCCCTGCAGAGGGCCTGGTGTGGGCTGCAGGGCCTAGGCCCAGGGACACAGGTGCCCAGGGTTCTGGCACCCTGGCATCCCCCAGTCTCGCACTCCATCTGCCTTCACCTCGCACCCTGAACCTGGTTCTTTGCCTGCCCTCCACTTGTGGGGTGGCCACACTGCTGAGCTCCTCCCGACTATTGTGGCCCTGGAAACCTGTGGACAAGTCCTGTGGGCCCCAGAGCCTTTGCACAGCGGCTCCCTCTCCTGGAAGGTGCTTGATACACAACTGTTGCAATTGAGGGAGGTGATGCATGGGGAGGAGTCTGACAGGGAGGCACTCAGGGATGTCAATTATTATTTATTATTATTACTGAAGCTGCAGGGCTTCTTTGCTAGAAGTCCTTGATGGGCCAGCATCCATTTCCTCTTTTGTTAACTCAACCTGACTCCCTCTGAGAAACACCCGCTGGTCAATGCCCTGCCCTGCCTTGCCGACAGAGATGGGTATGATCCAGGGTGAGTCAGAGACATTCTTTGCTTCCTGATGGCCTCAAGGCCTGGAAGATGTAAGGGCTGGAACACTGCAGCCATCCTGCCACCAGGAGGAGAGGTTGGCCATCAGAGAAGGTAAACCAAAGAGCAAGACAGAAGCCAGAGCTGGGTGAGCGTGGCTGCTATGAAGCCCCTTTTGCTGCGAACCTGACGCGTGTCTGGATTTGGCAGCTATTCACACCAGTAATGATCGTTTCAGTGAAGCCAGCTCTGGGTCGGGTATTTGGCCTCCTGCTGTCTGGCACCTCGTCCTCTGCTCTGCCCGCCGCCCCTGGCAGCCTGTCCGAGTAGCACCTTCTGGCCTCTGTGCCAGGTTGAGGGTGGGGCTGGTGGGTCGGGTGAACAGGGGCTTTGATGAGCGGGTTCTGGTCCCTGAGCGCTGTCCCGGCCTCCAGGCTCCTTCTATGCCGCATCCTTGCCTCCTGCGAGCTGCGCACTCCCTGCCACTCTGCCCGGCCCCAGGCTACCCTTGTTTCTCCGCTGCCCTGCCGCGCCCTCCACCTCCCCGTCTGCCTCCTCCTCTCTCACGTCCAAGCCCGGCCCTGACCTCCCGGCCCTTCCCACCCAGTGCCCTTTACGCAGCCGTCGCTGAGGCCATTTCCCCTGTCCTCACTGTCTCCCTGGCCGGACTGTGAGCCGCCGAGGCCGGGGTGCCTCTGTCTTCCCCTGAACCCAAGGCCGCGCTCTCCACGCGCTCAGAACCGCGGCCTCACTGGCTTCCCTGGCCCGGAGTCTCCCTGGTCTGCGGCATCTGGAACATTCTCGAGTCCCCTGTGTGCGTCAGCTCCCTGCTGTTGCTGTAAAAGTTCCAGGGACAAATTACCTTACAAAAGGCCGGGCGTGGTGGAGCACGCCTGTAATCCCAGCACTCGGGAGGCTGAAGCAGGAGGATCGTTGTGAGTTCAAGACCTGCCTGGGCTACAAAGTGAGCTCAAGGCCAGCCTGAACTGCATAGTGAGACCCTGTTTCAAAAAGACAAAAACAAACAAACAAACAAATTACCTTACAAAGAGAAAGGGTTGGCGCTGCTCACAGATTCATTGGTTGCTCACAGAGGCCCTCCTCCTCGTGGCCACGCCCACCCTTCCAGGCCACGCCCCCAGCCGGCTGAAGACCCTGGGACCCAAAGCAGCTGATTGGCCGGGACCAAACCCCAGGCGCAGACTCCTCTGGGAAATGTAGTTTTTAAGTCTCCCATCCTGTGTGCAAGGGAAGGGCGCTGGAAGACCGGGACAGAGCCTGAGGACCCGGGTCCTGACCCCAGTGTGGGCTCGGGCCCCGTCACATGTTCCCGTGTGGTCACTGACAAGGCCCAGCTCCCCGTGAGACCTGCGTCTTCACTGCACCCAGCCTGTGCAGGGGGAAGGGGCTGCCGCCCTCTTGCCCTGAGGCATTCCCAGCTAGGATTGCCCCATGATGGTCCTCCTATCGCCTGCATACCCTACCCAAGCTGCCTCTGTCCTTGCTCCCCATGGCCCTTATGGGCAGCTCCATTTTGACCTCTGGTGTCCCCACCTTCCTGCTGGATGGCAGGAACTCTGCATCCTTGCAGGTATGAAGATTTTCAAGGAAGAAGTTGTAAAAATATTGGGGCTCAGTGGTAAGGCCTTGTAGGCTTGAGGCCTTGGGTTCCATCTCCAGCACCGCAAAAAAACTATATATGGTGTATAGCCCAGGCTGGCCTTGAACTTGCAGTGATCCTTCTGCCTCAGCCTCCCAAGTGCAGGCACGCACCCACACCTGGCTAAACATGTAAAGAGTCACCTCTTAGGGCACCAGCTGGAGTGGCCTGGAGAGCAGCTGGAGCAATGAGGACTCTGCCCTGTGCCCTGAATGGGACATGTGGTACCCGGGATTGTGGCTGCTGACCTGGATGTGGCAGTCCTTGTTCAGAATAAACAAGGACTCAGGAACTGCCTCCCGCCCAATCCCCCCCCCCCACATACACAGGAGCACACGCACACGCACATGCCTTCTTCCTGCATCGGTCAGAACTGGCCTGGGCTCCACCTGTCTCCCTGGCCACCACCACCAGCCCGATGGCTCTAGATGGCTCTAACAGATGGGAGCGCTTGGCCTGAGGGACAGAAGTTCCTGTTTCCCTCTGGAACTTGCACTTCAGTGATGTCAGTGCGCTGGGTCACTGCGGGAGGGAGGAGACGGAAGGGGCGGAGGGGGAGGAGGGGAGGCTGCTCTGGGCTGGACGGCGCCCCGCCCCTCTGCTCCCCTCCCTCCTGCACCCTGTCATCCTATCTCTGTCACAGCGTGAGTGGGCGGCAAAGGGCCGAACACCAGCTTCTAATGGGCCCAAGTGGAAACTGTGTTCTGGGGCAGCTCCTGCTGCAGGTGTGGGTGGATCCAGGCACCGGGACATTGTCACAGGAGCTGGTTGCTCCGGTCCCCTGGCTGTTTTCTTCTCCCTTGCTGCCAATCTCTGTAAAGCTCTTCTGACTATGTGACAAACGTCCCCATTTGTCCAGGGCCCTTGTTACCCCCGGTTCAAATCTGCTAGGCAAGCAGGGATGGCTTCTGGACCTGGCGCAGTCGCTGCAGGATGGGGCCCGGGATCTGCAGGTGCAGGTCAGAACCCCCATGTGAGGCCAGGGCCTGTGGAGGAGCTCGGCAGGCACCCACTGATTAATCTGTGGGCAGGTGGGCTATGGACCACTCCACCTCGAAGCCGAGATGGGAAGGAAGTGCAAGTCTGTCCTGAGGGCTGCTGGTGCTCTGGGCTGGCACAGGAGGACCAGGGCAGGGGCCAGGAGGCCGTAGGTCTGGTGGGCCCTCACAGAACACCTACCATGAGCTACTTGGGAAGAAGGGTTTATTTAGCTCACAGTTCTGGAGGTGCCAAGAACAGACGGTCTCGAGGGGGCTCTGTGGTAGGCCCACCCCCAGGGGCATCCTCCTGCAAATGGCAATGGCAGGAGCGTCAGAGGGAGCAAGAGGGCACCTCAGGCTGGGCAGCCAGGAGCTGAGTGGGCGGGGCTGCTCCTCATCCCCTGAGAACCGCCTCACGCGCAGGTGGCGGCGGGGCCCTGCGAGCCCTTTCTCTCGCTGCTCTCAGGCTCCGGGCACTGTGCCTCTAGGGGATAAGATGAGCTACATCCGGACCCCAGCGGGCTACACCAGGGGCAGCAGGACCCTGGGCACATGGCACTCTAATGTAAGCTTTGACTGGGGGACCCTGGCCAGTGAGAGGGGCTTGTTCCTGCGGAGTTCAGGACTCCCAGATTCATGGGCGGATGCCGGCCACCCACTGAGATCTTCTGTCCCCTCTCGGCCATGGGAAGAGTCACTCTGTGAGAGGCCGTCAGCATCCCTTGGGCAGGGGTGGCCTGACACGTCACGAGTTTGTACCCTTTCTGTCCTCCTGCCCTGTGGGTGAGCAATCTGGGACCACACAAGACAGCAAAGAAACAAGGCAGGAAGTGCCCGGGTCCCCAACACTGGGCAGCGTGAGAGGCTGTACCCAGGCTGCCAGGGCATCATTTGTGCCGCTTCTGTCCTGTGACTTAGCTAACGGGAGGAGCGGGCACAGGAATCTGGGGGACCCCCTGGAGTGGCCAGGCCATGGTCATCTCACTGCGGGGCATTCCACCGCAGTGCGGGATTCTCTGCCCAGCGATCTTCCCAACCCGATCTAGGCCGGGTAAAGCCCTCTGAGGCCTGTCCCTGCCCCCTCCGAGACCATTCCGGGCTCGCAGTGCTGATGACGCAATGGCCCTGCCCCTCTCCAGCCGGAAGCGGTCATCTCCGCTAGGCTCTCCCCGCTGTCCTCTGGGTCCACGGCCACCCTCCCGGAGGCCATCTCTCTGCCTGGCCTCAACACCACCCGCCCCCTGGCTGGCATGTGCCAAGGAGTGCGAGGGGTCCCCGTGTCTGGAAGGGGACGCCCCGGCTGGCCTGCCCGGCCTCGGCAGCCCGCCCTTCCAGAAAGTCCCCGGCCCCTTCCTGCCTGGCTTCCTGCCGAGCCCTTCCTGGAAACCGGCCCCCTGCCCTGCCCCCAGCCCAGCGCGGTTCCCCGGGTGACTCACCGGCCCTCCGGGCAGGCAGGCCGGCTGGCCGCCTTTCACTCACTGTCCTGAGAGTTTGAAAAACAACTGGGGTGGGAGGGGGCGCCCAGGGCCCACCACGCCGGGCGACCCCGAGGGACAGGGCAAGAGAACACGAGGTTTCTACTTAAACATCTGCCTAAAAACGAGTCAGCGGGGTTTGAGTACAGCGGAAAATGCGGTGCTGCAAAGCAAGCTGTTTATAAGCATATGAACCTTGGGCTTCGGGTTCAGAAGGTTTTTTTCCCTTTTTTGTTGTACAGGGGAACCGACCCAGGGGACCCTATCACTGAGCTCCACCCCCAGCCCTCTTTATTTTTAAATTTTGAGACAAAGTCTTGGTAAATTGCCCAGGCTGGGCTTGAACTTGTGATCCTCCTGCCTCAGCCTCCTGGGTAAACTGCAATTGCGGGCCTGTCCTGCCACGCCCAACTTGGTTTTTGTTTCTGTTTTCCTATGAGATTGCATTATCCACCAAGTCTGGAGACTTTCACCTACCTTCTGCTCATTACCTCACCCTGACCTCCTTAGAGGGAGAAGGAAGGGGGGTGCTTGGGGAGTTGGGGGCTGACCCGGGCTGCTGAGGAGCTCCTCAGGGTACCAGGTGTTAGTATCACAAGGTGGGGAGGGCTGGGAGGGTCTAGAATGGCTGAGTGATGGGTGGAGCATGCAGGGGTTTTTGTTTCCTTAACTAGAAAAGGGCAAAGTTTATGCCTAGCACAACAAGCAGGACCCTGACTTGGCATTTACAAACTGTTCCCAACAGGCTCACTGGAGTGCATGCGACAGAAACTCATGAGAGAAATGATTGGCTTCTGAAATTGGAAACCACACCAGCTTCAGGCATGGCTGGCTCCAGGGCCTCCAGTGGCTTCCGTCTATGCTAGCAGGAGCATTCCCAAGCCACAGGCTGCTACCTGACCTGTTTGGAATTCCAGTCAAAAGACAGCTGTTCTTTCCCATCAGGCCCAGAAAAGAGTCAACAGCTGGCTGAGGCCTGCCTTGGACTGGGTTCTGTTCCGATCCCTGACCCCTGCAGCGACTCCAAGTGTCCAGGCGTGGGCTTCGGACATACTCTGGTGGCTGCCAACCCTCCCAGAACATCCGAAGGAATTCCCCTGGGGAGACTGTTCTCTGAAGAAAGGGGCTGTAGAAGGGAGGAGCTGATGTCCCTCATGTTTATACTGCTGTCTTTAGGGGTGCCTGGCTGTAGTACAGAGCTCTCTTCCCACCAATCACATATGCATTTTTCCTCCAAGAAGTGAGAGGAAAAGACGTGTCTTTCTCAGCCAGTGTCTTGAGCCATTTTCTGTTGCTATAACAAAATACCTTTGGCTGGAAACTTCATAAAAGAAAGAGGTTTGCTCATCTCATGGTTTCTGGTGGCCCCTCTGCCTGGCCTTGTGGCAGATGACATCACAGTGGGAGACCACATGCAAGACCAGAAGCCAGGGAGACCGAGCAGCCAGGCTCGCACCAGCATGACAAGCCATCCTGAGAACACCAGCTCACTGCACAATAGCCGTGTTGCTGCCTCTGTGAGCCACGCCCCATTACCTCTCCACCTGTGCCCCCCTCCCTTTTTTTTTTTTTTTTTTTTTTATTTTTGAGACAAGGTCTCACTATGCGGGACCAAACTCATGAGATTGTGATAAAATGTGCATAATAAAAGTCACCACTT